TAGGCGTGACATCCGGCTGGCTATCAACCAAGGGACGTGTGTACTGCTCATCAGTTCGCTCCGTCCTTGTCTATGGCTCTAAAACATGGCCAATACGAGTTGAAGACATGAAAAGGTTGACAGCTTTCGATCATAGATGTCTGCGATCTCTGTCTCACGTTACGTGGTTTAATAAGGTAAGTAATGTTGACGTTAGGCGTAGAGTGTTGGGCAAAGAGGGAAAATCAATCGACGAGGCTATAAAGTTACATAGACTAAGATGGCTAGGTCACGTGGTGCGCATGCCTAACCACCGCCTCCCCCGACGGGCATTACTAGCTGATATAGGTGCAGGTTGGAAAAGAGCCAGTGATGGCCAAACAAAAACATGGCCTCATCAATCCATGAAATCCTTGACAGTTAAACTGAGTCAGGTAGGGAGATGCAGACTCCCGGGTTGGGGCCCTCGGGACTCTAGGAATCAATGGCTGGAGACAATAAGTGACATGGCTCAAAATCGTTGTCAATGGCCAGCTCAGATGTATTCAGTCTCTGTAATCTTTCATATTCCTTTCTACCATTACCCATTCTGTTTCACTCTTGTACTTGTCAAACTCTATTGATTCTCTTCACTCATCTTCTTGTCTACATTTGTGTGCTATTTGGAACGTGGCAACTCGAACTGGTGCACTTCGGTGCCAAGTTCTATGTTGAATCCAGACAGAGACAGAGACAGATCAGACAGACTGGATCAATCAGTCTTCAATGCTTCTCTGCTAGATCATATCATATCAGCATGAAATTGTCAATGAAATATAGTTAAACACTATTCATTTCGATATATTTAAAGTACTTTCCAACATATTGGCATATATTACAATCTGAACATAAACATATGACCGTAAACATTTGAGTAAACTGTATAGCTGTTTGTTCATTAAAATTGATTGAAAATTTGCATAAGACAAACTTGTGACATGCATAATTATATCACACGTTTTGTGTACGTGATTGTGGTGTTCACAAATTCAGTGTGTACTACTTTTTTATGAGGTCATTGATGCGTGAAATTAAAATTGTGTGTGTGTGTGTGTGAATCGCATGAGGATAAAAACGGATTATTACAGTTCTTCATTTCGTTTGTTAACTTTTAGTGTGTTACCGGCTCCTATATTTGTCAAACTCTATTAATTCTCTCCACTCATCTTCTTGTCTACCTCTGTGTGCTATTTGGAACGTGGCAACTCGAACTGCTGCACTTCGGTGCCAAGTTCTATGTTGAATCCAGACAGACAGACAGTGTTACCGGCTGTCTATGTGTGTGTGTGTGTAGAACGAGGGGCAAGAGGGTGACGGTTGTGAAACACTTGGTAGTATGATGCAATAGTTGAGTAAGTGTAGAGTTTAGGCACCGAGATCCACTCTCCAACTCGCGGCCAAGAAGGAAGTAGATATCGAGCTACCCTACTGTACATGGGTAATTACAGAACCTTTCATCCTAAGATAGGAATTACCGGCAGTACGCACCCACACTGTGGGGCCCGAAACCAGGATCTTCCAGTTACAACAGGAGCTAGCTCGTATGGCATTCAGCCACTGGTACCCGACTCCTCGATGGCCAGCCCCTGAATTCTAACTTATACCAATTCATGATGCATTTAGCGCGACCAGCAACCAGTGTCTTTGGCGGGAACTCCATCCTTACTCCTGACTGGATGAACCCAATTGGTTACGAAATCTCACTAGAATCCTAGGAAACTCCGTCTCATAGCAAGTCACTAACGAAGTTAGAACCAACAGGCCAGTGAATCTCGCCTCGGTATCTGAATAGTCTGCGAGCTCACCTTGTAACTTGAAGGTCCTGGGTTGGAACCCCCCCCTTTGTGGTGGGTGAGAACTGCCAATAAATCCTATAACAGGGGGATAAAAAAGCTGTCCGGTACTCCAGCACTGGTTTTCAATGGTCCTCTAACTGATATCAATACGTGATCAACTCGTAAGATTGAAAGCTGCTGTTACAAAGACGTTGTATACAGCTAAGATCAGAATAATTCAGAGTATGAAACCTATATATCTGTGAAAGCCCTTGGAAAATATGAAAAATAATGCCATATCCCATTATGTCTACTAATTTAAATGTATTTGTGGTCACACATACATAAGAGGGAGGACTCATCAATTTTTGCAAGTAACAACTTCAGAAGTGAATTAAATCCCCTGAAACCATTAATAGGGAATAAAGACACTACCTAACTCCTCTATTGACTCGGTGCTCAAATTACTCCAAGAAGTTCGTAACATGTACGGTCGAAAAAACTTACAAACATATTCAAATCACAATGTGTGTGGGGGGGGGGGGAAGAGACTTGATTGACGCTAGAAAATGACGATCAATAAAGCAATGGTTTCAGCCTTACACTTCACTTTAGGCATTATAGTTTTGCGATTAAATCACATACTGATACAAGGTGTGGTAAGCTAATACGGTTGCATTCTGTATGTTCTTACTTAGAATTATCATTCGGTAGGACTCTAGAGTGTTAAGTAAATTGGCTTGAAGTTCAATTTGCTGTTAGATATTTGCAGGTAATCCCCAGGACACCTGATCTTCTCCTTTTTGTTCGCTATAGAGATAAATAACTCGTTTGTAAGTATGACTAATTTCTTCACGAAATGTTTATCTGCTCTCATTTAAGTGGTCCTATTTTTGCATTCATCAGATGGATATACCTCAAGTCTTCAGATTATTTGGGGTGAAATGAACTCTGACGCCCGCTGTTTCAAATGTAAAAGCATTTTTCACTAGGTTACTTGAGCCATGAGTTTTTTTATATATTTTTTTTATTTTTGATTACAGCTTGATTCCACACCATATTTTAGTACAAGTATGGAATTTTCAGCAGCCCAAATTTCGCAGGCCGATCATAGAAGTATGAGGTGTGCGTCGGCAGGGGATCGAACCTCGGACCATATGCATGGTCGGCGAGAGTCCTAACCACTGTGCCACCGACGCACAGTATCTCTTATACTCTTGTACAGCGAGTTTCAGTTTGACATTATGGCTCACTGACGATTGCAGGTTCATTCAGATGACAAGTCTTAAATAGGCCGAAGTGTGCATCATGTCACCACCATCCATCAAACAATGCGTCTTTGCGTTGAATATCAAGAAGAGCGACAACTAGAATTCTCATGGAAAAGTCCCATTGTAACATATAGAAAATCAAAACAAGTGATTCAGCGAAGAGACTCTTTTCAGCAACGAATTTATCATAAAGCTGTACAATCGTATATATATATGGTTTTTGAAGAAGTTATATCCGGTGAGGGAATTGAATCATACGCGTGAATGCATAAAATAATAATAATAGTAGTATGAAATGCAATTAAACTATTTGTGATTATAACCATAGTTTAATGTCAAGTAGCAAAACAATTAATGTCATATATAGAATAATTCATAGGATGGATAGAACTTGAAAAAGGGTGTGCAATTATACGATTAGTAGACAAATCGAATAAAATAAAAACGTTACGTAATATTGTTTGAAATTTGACAGCATGGAATTTAACGTTGTAAAAAAGAGGAATTGATTTAGAATGACAAGTGGAACAAGTGAAATAATACCGGGACAGTTCAAAGTGAGAATAGTAATAATAACAATCGACGTAATAAGGAAGAGACTACAAATTGATTAGACAAAATGAAAAAATGAAAATTGGTAGAGCTGAAATATGATTGGGGATTATCATATTTTAGCATAGAGGGATTAAGACCATGAAAGTTGGAGGGGTTGAACAAACTTTTTCTGTACACAGAGATCTGGCTTTTCTGTTTCGATAGCTAAAGATGGCTTCAGGAATACAGATGAGTCGGGTACGTAGGGCTTTGGACAAATTACTCTTTGCCTTGTAGATGACTTTAAAGGCGGAGGCAATAAAGATAGGGTGATCATTATTGACCAGATGTTCAATGATCGCGCTTCTTAATGCTCCACTTCCACCTCTTCGTAACAATGCAGGATAGTGTTCTTGTACCCTCCTGGATAAAACTCAAGTCGAACGACCAATATATCTAACTCCACAAGAACAGGTGAATTGATAAATACACACAGAGTTGGTCAACAACGGGATCTTGTCCTTCAGGTTATTGAACAGTAATGGTCGACTAGTAAAGGCTATTCTCAGAGATGCAGCAGGGAATGTTCTTTTCAGGGTCTGTGATATCCTTTGTTTCATGATACTGGAAGCTAATTCCCCTTTGAATTCCAAGCTCATGTAAAGTTTTTTCTTGGGTAAGGATGATATGTCACGTTTTATAGTATTTGAATGTATATTCTTATCTATAAAACGTGGTGGAAATCCATTTTCTATTAGGATTTTCCTCAAAAGGTATAACTCAGTATCAGGGCTACATATGCGCCGAATGCAAGTGGCAAGCAACCAGATCAGGTTCCGTTTTCGACCAATGCGTACCCAGATGTAGAGATTTGTCAGTTGACCATTCCATGACAGCTTTGATTAATCGATCTCTTCAGAGTTCCATCGGTCCTCATTGACTATGATTATAATCACAAACAGTTTAGTTTTAATTGCACTTCATACTACTACTACTATTATTATTATTATTTTATGCCGTCACACGTATGATTCAATTCCCTCACAGGGTTATAACTTCTTAAAAACCATATAGATATACGATTGTACAGCTTAATGATAAACTAGAATTCTGTCTATTGACCAACTTCAAAATACCTAACTAGCAGTCCGTTTTTTTAAATCCCGCTAAAGATATCTTCGTGAGTGGTATAGAAAGTTGTTTTTCAAAAACCATCAACCTGGATAAAACATTGAATCCAACACCTACATCTGGAGATGTTGTCATTCTCTCCAATATTGAGAACAAAACTAATTACTAGATAATTTTAGCTGAGTGTAAAATTTGAGTAAAATGGTTGGTTCTCACATGTGCCAAACAAATAAATATGCCTTTTTATTCTTCCCCTCTCCTTTGGTTTTAGGAGTCAATTCATTCGCATCATTCATCAGTGTCAGTGACAAATCAACCTCCTTATCGACAGGATTGGATGCATAAAACACGACAAGCTGAACAAGAACTTTTAGAAAAGTCAGTTTTCTTTATTCAAGGAGTTTTATTTCATAATTATATCGATTCTTATTGAATAAACGGAAAGTTATCAATGTCCAGAAGTCAGCAACTACAGGCATATTTATCCTCCATATTTTCCTAGTTGGTTCTCAAACGTTAGCTGATAGAGTGACTTCTGAATGCTTGACATTATTATTATTCCCTCGGGTTCTGAGTGGAACATAGGGCTTCAGCAACACATCTCCATTCTAGTGTTCTGTTTGGTGCTGCTCTCTTCAGCTGGTTGGCTGGCTCCATGACTGACCATAATCTCTCATTTCCACCTCCTCCTTCAACTCACACGATCTCCTCCATATCACCCTCGTATCAACGAGCAACTCGTCGTTTCCAACTTTGGTTCCACTAGAGCGATGGTCTGGCTGGCTTGACATGTCATTCGACGACCAACCCATCTCCAATTTCTCCTACATAACAGTTGAGCAATCGGCTTTCGTCTGTTGGTTGATTTGTTCCACTGCAGAATTCCCTATTGCTAGTTATTTCTAGCCAGCCGGCTGGCCGGTCATTTGATCTTGACTATGGAGTCAGACAACGAAAATGGCACCTGTTGAAAAAGAAGTCTTCACTGGAGGCCTGTTGGAAATCCTTCTCGTGACACACTTGACATTTGTTTTTCCTTCACGTTCCCAGTGGAACATAGGTCTTCAAGCTAATAGATTGAAGTTTCTGTAACAGTGTTTATTTTACAGGATGGGGTTGCTAACCGCCTCATGCCCAACCTTCCCTCTTTACCAGCATTATTTCTGGCTTAGTGAGGTGAAGGAGTGCGTCTGCGGCCATGGATCGAAACCCGGACCATGTGCATGGTCGGCGAGCGTCCTAACCACTATGCCACCGATGCACACACTTGACATAACCCATCGGTAACTTTAAGGCTAGCTGAAGTCAGTGTTTCTCTCATCTGATCGTTCTAAGCAGTTCAGGTGTTTCCTGTCAATCGGAAATAAACCGAATTTCTGTTCATTGATTCTGGATTATTCAAACATCAGGCGCAGTGTACCACTATATTGAACATTCCGTTTGTTTATTACACATCTGGTCAACCTGATAATATTCAGTACCTAGAAATTATGGGATTTAATTCCAATCAAGTTTATTTCTTATATTACGTTCTGTTCCATTTACATGGATGATTTACTATGTGGTTAAATCGACTAATCAAATTATGGGTTATAAATCACCAACCCAATGGTAGCTACTGAATAGATGTCCCGAAACTGCAGTGAGAAGTGGTAATAACCACTGGGGTCTACTATGTCCGGGGTGTGAAGAAGTGGATGACCATTGAAGGCATTGTCTGGCGGTAGTCCTATGTAATGATGACTTGACAAAGTTAAAATTCACAGGTCGAAGTGACTGGATGATCAACGAGTTTTTGGTTGTAACCTGTAGGGGTCGTGAAAGCGCGGTGATGAAGAGTGCCAAATAGGGACGAAACAGTTGTTTAGTAGTTCTTGGTGAAATTAAGTCGACCATTATATACGTAATAGTTATCCGATTATTTACTGGTGCTAAAGTGTATAAGTTCAACAGAGAACTTTGAAGTATTGGCTTGTAGGGATTCGATTCGATTGGTTACAGGATTTCATCAAGAGGTGATATCAATTAGAGAACCATTGAAAAATCAGCTGACAGTACTGGACAGTTGTTTCGTCCCAGCTTTAGACTCTTCAGAAGCTCACACACTGCACGACTCGAACCCAGCGTCTTATGATTACAAGGCCATTGGATGGAGTCCCAGTGTCTTAATGGTCTACGAGCCCGCTCACCTTGTAACCAGAAGGTAGTGGACTCGAACGCCGATGTGTACGTACTACTGAAGAGCCCCAAAAAACTAGGACGAAATAGCTGTCCAATACTTCCAGGCACTTTGATGGATTCCAACTCACGATGAAATCAGGCAGTCAACAGAGAACGTTTAAGTGCGAATTCTTATTTTAGATGTACCCATCTGGTAATCATTATTGTGCAAATAGACAAGATGAATCACAACTTCCTGGAAACAGATCATTAGCATCTTGTATATTTTGACCATGAACTGATAACGTTTCACTTCATGCTGAACAATATTCATGTTATCTTTGAAGCGAAGAACCTGACACAGTTATTATTTCATGAATGAACAACGCATTTCCCTTGAATACACCCCCCTAAGCAACGCTAGTTGAAATCCCAGGGAACAGATTAGGCGGAAGAGTTCTACAAAGGTTGCAAATATTTTCTTGCTGAACGAATATCGATAAGCAGGAGACTTAGATCCAACATCTTTATCAATCAAACATCTATCACATTAATCGATAGAATGACAATCATAACAGATTGCTTCAAATTTTAGTCCACCAGTCAGAGAAGATTTTCGCACACACGTACATGTACATACGAGAGAAAAACATGGTCATAACAGAAATATCAAAATTCGTTAAAAACAACAACAAAAAATCTATATTTATTTTATATTTTAATCTGTTCTAGACAAAATCAGAGAATATCTCAACTAGAAGAAGAACATCGAGCAATGTTAATTCGACAAGAATTACGCGCGAAAGAACGTAACCAATGGTTCGAACGAAAACAACAACAGCCTCAGGTATGTTCTAAATACACAACGGTCATAATAATAATAATAATAGCTTTATTCTAAACCACATGTTAACACATAGTACAAATGTTAGATCATATAATAATAATAATAATAATTTACTTTATTCCAAAAACAGTACTTATAATACAGAATGGAATTCTCAGCATTTGTCACAATATCTTACATCTGATTTACTCAAAATATAAATAAAATTAAAACAAAAGTAACCAGAGGAATTTGTCCACGCTAACGATATAAAGTCGAAAATATTGTAAGCACGAATTGAGAGTATTAAATATAATAATAACAATAACAGTGAGTTTGTTTCAAACAGTATTGTCACAGTATGTTCACACTTATGAAAAATAAATAAATAAAAACAAAAAACTGAGAGGATTATAAATATAAGAAATACAATAACAATCAAGTTTGGTACTGGAAGGGTGGAAGAAATGGTTTATTTAGTAGTGCAAAGAAGGTTAGTTAGTTAGTTCATGCCTGACATTATTTTCATCACATAAAGTACGTGCTAAATATGGTATAGTGGAATTTTTATACTTAGACGTACTTGCGTAAATTCTTCTAAAAAGACTTCTTGTTTTACCTAAGGAGACACAAGGTTGGAGCTGCAGCAGATGGGTGCTTAGAGTCTGACAAAATTCCTTCAACAAATTTGTTACATGACATCAAGTGCCTATCCGTGACAATGTCAACGATATGGCCCAATGGGATACCACTCGTCCTACTGACTGACAGTCTTCAGAGTTCTACGAAGTATGACATAGTCTTTTTTAAGCAATCCAGGAAAGAATAAGGGTGAACAGTAAAGAAGAATAGGTAAAATACGCAAGTTGAAAAACTGTAAGAATAGGGGTTAGGTTATGCCCGAGTGCCTCAACTTCTTAATGTAAAAAGTCAGATGAAATATTCTTTTAGAAATCGCTATGACATGTGGGAAGACCAGGATAGGTCAGAAGAAAGAATTAATCCAAGATACTTAACTTCAGACTTGATTGATTTCTATATTAGTGTCATCAATTTCACAAGGGTCATAGGAACCAACAGCTTCGCTTAACTTTTGTTCACATCGGAAACTGAAATTAACAGTCTGGCATTTGGAAGGATTTAGTTTAAGACCGTTACACGAAGACCATTTGTAGCGTATTTCATTGCAAAATGATAATCCTTCATATACGATCTTCAGGAAAAAACAGTAACTGACAACATACCAGTGTGGCAGGAGGGGGGGGGGAAAGGAGTGGTTCTGCTTACCAGACCACAGACACACTGTTAAACCTCGCCTAACTTTTAGTAATCCTGCCGCTGAAACTTCATAGCTTGACTCCCTATCCTCCGGTCGGGACACAAAGGAATGAAATAAAAGGATAACTGATGAGATTATGGAGTCCATTGATTGATTTAAAAGACTAATAACATTTCTGGAAAATGATGATGATGTTAATAATATGAGATTTAATAATGTGAAATAATCCCATATCAAAATGAATTAAACGTCAATCTGAACGAAGAATATTCATTTCACAATAATTTCTCCTCTTCAGGTTCTTACAACTACAAAATATGCAATATTTGTTCCCGTTACAACAATAATGGCCAGTGTTATGCGACGGATACATTTTTTAACGTAGAATAACAGATTAGCAGTTATGGGGTATCAAAACGTGAGAAACACAGTAGGCTGAAATCGATTACAAAATTTTCTATAGTTTGGTTTGTAAGGGTTAGTTTTGTTTTTACTAGCTGATCACGGATTGATATCAGTTAGAGAAGAACCATTGAAAACCAACTAGGGAGTACTGGAGAGCTGTCTTCACCGTCCTTGTTTGGGAATCATCTGCAGTACGCACCTACTGGGGATTAGGGATAGTAGATTTTCTACAACACAATAAGAAGACGTAGTTTATCTGAAACGTATAATGTATTGGCGCAACACATTCCGGATATTCTGACCACACACGTACTTGTGATACACAGTTTTTATAGCAGACATGAAGGTATGGATTATTACAATACAGGTCAGATTGTGTACAGGTCAAGGTCACTAATAATGGGTAGGGAGATGGTGCAAAGGTGTGGGTAAAAAAGAGAAAAACAAAGCAAAGAAGGGATTGAAAATATGATGAAGTAACTTGAAACTTGGTTCTTAATTGGATTACCAAGGTAGGTTTAAGGTAGTAAAAAATAACTTTTGGACACATAAGACAGGTTTAGGTCTTTTTTATGGCTAAGGATTCAATGAATTTAAGTATGTGACCCAACCTTGTTTTATTTATGGGTTTAAAGGCATTGTTGAAATCGACCTTATGGCACCTCTTTATAGTGTGCTTCGCTATAAATCATGTTGGACATCTATTTCCGGGATCAATTGTACCTGGCGATTTTATTTGTTGTTGCAGCCATTTTGGAATGTGTTCTGTAGCCCTAACATGTAGACACCGATGGGTCCTCCCTATGTACGTGTCTCCACACATACATGTAAATTGGTAAACACAGTGGGATGTGACACTATCGTTTGGATAATGTGAGGGTTTACAGGACAACAGGGTTCTCGTTTTCTCTATGAAGATAAGTTTATCTGCATAGTAGCTTCTATTAATTGTGGCCTTTAGTCTTTGTCTAGTGACTAGACTTTGTTGATCACCTCTGAACGGCAAGGATATGTAAACATCCTTTTTGGGAACTGATTGGATTGGTAAAGCTGTGTGGTTGACACTTCCATAACGTCTAATAAATCTCAGCGGGTAATTGTTATCCAACAATATTTCAGTGAGGTGTTGTCTTTCTTCTTCAATTGTATCGGCAGTATATATACGGTGAATGCGCTTGAACAAACATTTCACCAACGCCTTTTTTTATACTGTAGTGGACAGAAACTATGATAATTTAAATACTACCCCGTCCATGTGGACTTTCTGTAGACAGATTGTTTTACTGACCCATCTTCTCTGTGGGTTATGAGTAGTACATTTAAAAATGGCAGGCAACCATTATTATTGTGTTGTCGAAATTCATAAAGGGAACTTTTGATGTGGTTTTGTTCTCTGAGCTGGATGGTTAATTTGCGAAGCTTTCATCACCCTACTGGGTGACATCTTCAGCGCATACTCCAATTTGAAGTGAGCTTTTAGATTTCTCCACGAGTTCGCCGTTAGTCACCTCTCCTGGTGACCTTGGACGTGATTGGTTGTTTATGTGTGTTTTCACATCTTCTAGGTTACTTGTATTGGAACTGATTGTTTCTTTGACTTGAACTTTGACCCTTTGTGTGTGTGTGTGAAGTTTCTTTCTTATCGGTTGATAAATTTTGTCTTTGCAGTTGTTGCAACTGCGAGAAACACCACATTGGCCAAAGTGGACGTCCCCTTCGTCTTCGTATCCACGAGCATAAGTTAGCCGTCAAAAGACATGATATCCACTCCCTCATATCATTTGCTGCATACAGACAACCACGGACATCAATTCGACTGGGACAACGTTCAAATATTAGACAGAGGAAACAACAAGAATGCTAGAGAATTTTTAGAAGCTTGGCCGGCATTCCAGTGAATCATCAATCAATAGACACATAGAGATAGACAAAATTTATCAACCGATAAGAATGAAACTTCACACACACACACAAAGGGTCAAAGTTGAAGTCAAAGAAACAATCAGTTCCAATACAAGTAACCTAGAAGATGTGAAAACACACATAAACAACCAATCACGTCAAAGGTCACCAGGAGAGATGACTAATGGCGAACTCGTGGAGAAATCTAAAAGCTCACTTCAAATTGAAGTATGCGCTGAAGATGTCACCCAGTAGGGTGATGAAAGCTTCGCAAATTAACTATCCAGCTCAGAGAACACAACCACATCAAAATCATCCACCTGAGCCAGAAATCTTCTCTATCATATAAAGGGAACTAATTGCTTTAAATTTTAGATAATAGATTTGTAGAGTATGGGGATAGGAGAAAATTGCCAAGTCAGTTCAATATGTGCCTCCAGCTGTTTCAGTTCACACATTCGTTATTCCATTACGAATCTCTCTCCTCTTTAATACATACTACTTTTTACTAGACACTCATCTGACACCTTTTTTACAACCTTGAACTCGTTCAGTTCCTTTACCGTCGAACGGTCCTTGCTTCTCTTCAAATCACGGAATATACACATTGGGTGTCGTAGGAGTTATTAAGAAGACAATTGCAGCGAAGAAAAGCTTTTCTTTTCGACGAAGTCATCATCTTGGCTGTACATTCGTGTATTTATATCAAATGGATGGGAAAGTTCCAAAATAATCCCCGGTTAAGGGTCAAATTAATAAAAATTACAATTAGGAATTAGAATGCCATAATAAACAGGGGGACGGATATAACTCAAACAAAGTAGCATCATGATAGCTAAGAAGATTGACATTGTGCAATTAGGGGTTAAAAATGTAGAAATAACAAAATAGACAGGATGTTTGGATAAGAACTAATGTGATGAATAATTGTTTATGCAATCAGGGATTAAATGTGTGGAAATGGTAAAATGACAAAATAAACACGAAGTTCGGGTATGAAAATACGGTAATGTAAACAGGGATTAAGAAATTGAACTGAATTTTTGATTTTCCCGTCGATTGATTGGACCGAAGTGCTCGGTCTCAGGTTGACATGTCGGCTTCTTGTGCAGATGCTTCGACGATGTCTGGGCATTAATTTAGTATTTAATTGGTGGATGGTGACTAGCAGTGGAATCCAGGATGCGCATTTCGTCCTATTTGGGACTCGTCAGCTGGATGTACCTGCATTTCTCAGTGAGTGATGACGTTCCCACCGAGGCTCGAACCCAGTACCCATAGTGGATAACGCTTTGGCGTTATTCGCTGGATTCTACTGAAGAGGCACCTTACTAAGGCTGTTTTGTACCGAACAGGGCAGAAACTGTGGTAATTAAGACACTCTTCTGTCCAGGTAGGTTTTCTATTGACCCATCAAGCCGTCGACTAAGCAATGTGTCTAGGAAAGATAAACAATTATATTCCTCTTCTACAAACAGATATAAGTGATATATTATTCTAAACGTCATTCGTTCGATTTAAAATTGAGTTGGCAAAACAAGGTGATTATCACTTATGATTACAATGTCTTCGACATACCTTCTATAAAATGGCACATTTTCGATTAGATCCTCCGATGAATTCTCAATTTATGACATATAAATACATTAAATATTCCCATAGTAGAATTTAGAACAACACATTTAAGCGAACAATATTGTTTTCAATTAGATCTCATCAGGCTTAACTCTAATATATATAAGTTTACAAATAAAATTCAAATATAAACCAATCATGGTGTTTTGTCTATAGGATAATACGATGGTGAATATAAAATTGTGCAGTTAGTCATAATAGTGGTAATGATAATATTAATAATAGTAATAATAATAATAATGGTCTTATCAATAATAAGGATGAAAAAATGAGGCAATCTGTGATAACATGAATAATGAAAAACAGTATGATTAAACAAACAATTGTTCAGGTGGAAGTAGTCGATAAAGGCTAGTAAAAACAAATGAACCGATTACGTAATGTTAGATTGTAGGGGAAGGAAATGAAACACGTTTATAATGAATATAAGATAAGATTAAGGGATGATAAGAAAGGGGTTGGAAATATAAATAAAGGGGTGGGGGTAGAAGTCTTTCGTTGGTTATGTCTTATTAGGCCATGGGAGGGATAATGGCTGCACGAACTTCTTTTGAATGCATAGCTTAGGTTTAATAGTTCGAATGCCTATCGCCTCAGCTGTGTGCAGTAGACGAATACGAAGTCTATTAGAAAGATTCGGAGGGATACGATGAATTACTTTGAAGGCTTTCGTTTTATCGACTACATGACCACTATCAATTAGATGTGACAGAATTGAGCTACGGATTGTTTTTGTCTGTCCTTTGCCAAACCACGATGGGAGATGTTCACTAACACGTTGGCTAAGCTGTCTAGTAGTACGCCCAATATAACTGTCACCGCAGGTGCAGTTGAATTGATAAATACACATAGATGTGGCAAAACTATCAAGCTTATCCTTCGTTTGCGTCCCAATCATTCGTCGGCTAGAGAATGACAAGCATAGGTGTGCTGCGTAAAATGTTCTACGTATGCTCCTTGAAAGTCTTTGGAATAGAATCTCACTAGATAAGTCCCCATTAAATTGTAACTTAATAAATAGAGGTTTCTTATGTGCAGTAAGAGTCACAGGTTTCTTCTCTGATGGTTTCATATGTTTCTTTATGAAACTACTCGGATAACCCATCTCCGTCAAGGAATCGTGAATATATTCAAACTCCTTTTGCAAGAGGTCCTCCGTACATATCTTCCTTGCTCTGCTCGCGAGACATTTTACAAGATTCCTTTTATATTTAATGGGCACGTAACTACGGAAGTGTGTGTACTGCCCTGTGAATGTGCTTTTTCTGTAGGTAAGAATCCATACTACTTGTCTCACAACCTGTACTATTGTAAATATTCCTGATAAAATCATTTATTACATAAGAAGGTGAAGAATATCTGCTTAAATGGACCCTAAAGGACTTCCCGCTTTGCTCTGTGTTTTTATGTTCTTTTCTGTAGGCCGACAGCCCTTCCAATCCATCAGCACTGAAAATGAAGAGTAATGATCATGCGCATGATGAAGATGATGATAATGATGCGAGATCATGGAATTACCAAACTTTAAGTCAAGTACCACTTAGACAGAATTCTGATGACAGTAAGTATTGGGCATTTTTAGTGGAAAGTATATTTTTTTGCGATTATTATCATTAAATCCAAAACCTCGGCACATTACGACCACCAGAAGACGTTATACATAAAATCTCATAGTTTGCAGGAGACGTAGGATATCACCTGAATGGCCAGACTGAAGCAGATGCTTGTCTTAAGAGACCACCACCCTTTTCGAGTTTTTGACTTAGAGTCTTAGCTGCAAGGCGGTAGAGTAACTTTAGAAGCTAGGCTCTCATGGTTTCTACTGGCCTAAACAGGTTTACACTGCATTCTGTACTTTCGGATTTCCAAGACCTATGCACACCATAGGTTTCGGAATCAGAGTTTTCCGACCATTATGTCCATCAGCATCGGACATCTGCGTGCATCTTTTCACGTTTGTGAGGAACATCCAGACGTGGCGGGTGAAGACAGTAAAAATAGCTTACCTGGCAGAGGCTATATCTATGATTCATATGAACATGAAGGAAAAACTACCACTGCTGGCTTCATCAGTGTATATCTACCAATTCACCTGCTCGTTTGGAGCCACCAGGTATGTCGGCCGTACCCAGCATTCGCTAACCAAATGTATCACAGAACACTTACTAGCATGGTTTCACAAAGGAGACAAACGATGCCTCCGCAGCTCTATCTTGGAACATCTGATAGGTTTAGGACACCAAGCTATATCTCAAACAAACTTCAAAGTCGTCTACAGAGTAAGAAGTAGTCCTCCTAAAGGTGTACGAATCAGACTTCTTCAAACTGCAGAAGCAATGGCAATTCACATGCTAAGTCCTGAACTCTGCATACAGAAGAAGTTCGTTCAATCAGTGCACTTGCAATGGATGTAATGTATCTTATTACCCGATAAGTAAATTCTACCTAACCTATTCTTGTCTGAGTCTTCATTAGTATTATTTTGTCTTTTCAATTGTAATATTTTACATTCCCAACTTTCCTGTTCTCTACCCCACTCCTTTTAATTTCTACACCTCATTTCCACTGTTACTGACTTGACCAACACTCAATTTCTAGTCATTTATGTTACGTCATCCAATTCAACTTGTTCAGTTTTAGTCCTATTTTAAATGGCATTATTCTCTACCCCATTTCTACTTAGTCTCTCTCTACCTGTAATTACCTCTGTTGCTATCCTGACCTAAGTTGAAACATTTTAGTCAATTATATTGCGTCATCTAACTTACTAACTCAAGCTTACTTTAGTTGCTATCTAATTAACCTTGTTTCTATATTAGATCATTCTTGTATTACCTGATCAATTATCTAGACTTGACAAACCTCATGAACACACAAAAATAAATATATATATATATATATATATAAATGCGATTGTACAGCTATATGAATGAATTCGCCGGCGAAAAGAGTCTCTTCACTGAACATCTTCTCTTTTTCATAGGACTCAATGGGGATTTTTAAGATTCTCACATTTCTGTCTTTCCTTTTGTATGTGTCCTTACTTTTCTCAGATCTTTCTCAAGCATCCAGTAGTCAAAATCGTTATGGACGGCCAAGATTTGATGCAAAACAAGAAATGCCAAAATTCACACCCTACTCAATGCCACATCCAATTCAATCACGTCTAGGTCCACAAGTTATTGAAAGCGAGTTATCTCGTCTGCATAATACCACTGTTCCAGGCACGTCTACTGATGGTAGTATGCGTGTCAAAAAATCTGTATCGTTTGATAAAAACTTGGAGACAATATCTGTTTACAGTCCACCTACAACACCTCAGGATAGTTTAATCGAAAATGCTTCAACAAATAAGGCACGTAGCTCCAATAGAACAACAGGACAGAATTTAGCTGTGAAGATCCCCCCACCATCTATGCCTTCGTATAAAAAGTCTTTAAGTCCACCAATTGGTTTTGAAACTGCTGATGACAGTAGAATAAACGGTAAGAATTTAAACCAAAGTTATTCTTTTTGTTTTAATATCTATTCGTTGTATATTTCCTGTTAACTGCTTAATCTCTGTTGACACAGCAGATCCTAGTACAGACACTTTGAAAATGTCTGAAGTTCAACATGATGTTACCTTGGTTGGTATTAAACAATAGTTGAATGTGCAATGGGAATTTATTTTATTTTTGATTTATAGCTTGATTCCACCCTGTATTTTGGGTACAAGTATGGAATTTTCAGCATGGATATCGGTAGCCCAAATTTTGCAGGCCGACCATAGATATCAGGTGTGCGTCGGCGCGGGCTCGAACCCCGGACCATATGCATGGTTTGGGTAGTTGTGTTCTGCGTAGATAATGAGCAGTTGGCGTTTTTCAATTTGGCATTAGGTTGACGTCCTCGGGTCGCTGATGACCGATGAGAATTTTTGCGTTGAGGGGCTTTGTTGGTAATGGGAGCTACAATGGTGCTACAATCTAACTTCTGAACTGGCACATTTGTAGCCTGCTTAAAAGCATCCGGTTGAATAGAATTAGGTGATAGCAAATCTGCCTGTGTATTGCAAGGATTATCGAGGTCGACGTCTAAGTTTACTAAGCATTTGGGGAGTTAACATTTCTTTTGACATAACCAAAAGAATTAATATTAGCAGGTATAGAGGATAGTGAGGCCATATGTATGTTCGGACCTTCTGACTGACAGTTCTGAGCAGGGTATATGGGTGGTGTGGTTTCAACCATACCAGGAGAGCCTGTGTCAGATTTTCTACTAAGAGCCAGTGTGGCTAGATAAGAATTCATACTACTTGTCTCACAACCTGTACTATTGTAAATATCCCTGATAAAATCATCTATTACACAAGAAGGTGAAGAAGCAGTGATTTCCGATCTTGTATCATTTAGCATCTGTGTCAGATCAGGGGAAAGTGTGTTACCATGCTGTTTAGGCTTGCTAGATCTATGTCTTTTGCTGATTTTTTCAGCTGATAATGAAGCACGACGCTTCGATAGTTTACCAGGCATTTTGTGTATAACTAATACAGAACTCCAGAGGTATATGAGTCTTAGCTTGTTTGACGTTATGTCAAGACAAAAAGACAAACGTGATATTGGCGTAAGACAGAAATGCAGGTATATGAGTCTTAGCTTGCTTGACGTTATGTCAAAACAAAAAACAAGCGTAATACGTGCACCGAAATTCAGATGCTCAAAGTGGTAATACCTTAATCAATAGCCTGAAACAGGAAAACTGGCAAGGATAATATTCAGTGACTAAGAAGGTAGATTTAGATATGAAAAAAAAAGTATTGCTATTTCTATTAGTAGTCAGTGACACTAAGGATATATACTGAAAAGTGGGAATACAAGAAAGAATAATAAAAACGAAAACCACGCGGAAAAAATGACCAACTTCGAACCCGGCGCGAAGGTATCCTTCGTCTTATCTAGAAGTCATCAGTGGTATGTCCATGCATTTCAAGTGAGTGGTGGTATTTCGCCTTGAAACTGGAGCCCTATATTTATCATTTGGAATGCCAAATCGTTATTCAGTTCAGGAGAGCTATCTCTTATACAACTTGGATTCCCCTGCTACTCACCACCATTCAAAATAACTTCAATTATTTCTGCTGATTTTCAAGGATAAAGAACACAATATTCAGCAAAGAGACTCTCTTCAACGAATTTATTGCATGGAGGGTTTAATCATGAGCTGACATCAGTTAGAGAACCACTGGAAAACCTGGAAGTACTGGACAACTGTTTCGTCCTAGTTTGGGACTCTTCAGCAGTACGCGCCCACCGGGATTCGAACCCAGGACCTTCTGGTTACAAGGCTAGCGAGCTCGTAGACCATTGAGCCACTGGGACCCGATCCAATGGTCCTTGAATTCTAACTTCTGCCAACTCACGCATGACATAGCGCCACCACTTCGCAATGTCTTCTTCGATGAGTTACTGCCTCATCTTCAACCTGCTGTACCCTACTGGTCACGGCTTCCCACTAGAACCCCAGGTTAACTGCCTGAATAGGGCCAGTCACTAGTGAGCACAGATTAATTTTCAAGTATTGGTTTTGTAGGGATTTTGTTTGATTGCATTGAGGATTTAATTAGGACGAAACAGCTGTCCAGTACTCCCAGGTTTTCCAGTGGTTCTCTAACTGATGTCAGCTCATGATTGAATCCTCCATGCAATCAAACAAAATCCCTGCAAAACCAATACTTGAAAAAAAAACGAATTTATTATCAAGCTGTTCAATCGTATATATAAGTATATGTATACGGTTTTTTAAAGAAATTATATCCGGGGTAGGAATTAGGTCAAAGGTGTTTATACATGAAGCAATAATAATAGTAGTAGTAGTAGTAGTATGAAATGCAATTAAAATATTTGTGATTATAATCATAGTTAAATGTCAAGTGGCAAAACAATCAACGTCATATATAGAATAATACATAAGACAGGTGTATAGATGTTAGTGGGAAGGGGTACATAATTATAGGATTAGTAGACGAATATAAAATGTTACATAACATGGTGTGAAATTTGGTAATACAGAATTCAGTATTGTAAAAATGAAAAATACAAAAATTAATAATTTTGGGTTCAGAATGACAAGTGGGGCAATTGGAAACAATTCAGAGTGAGAATAGTAATAATAATCGTAGTAATAAAGAAAAGGTACATAGAATAACTAAATAAACAAAATAAATAAATAAATGTCTATGCCTCTACGGCCAAGGCAGAAGTAGGGATTGTACATACTTCTATTGCACACAAAGGTCTGGCTGGCTAAAAGTCATGAATTACCGAAGTCTCTGCTGTCTTTGGTAGTCTGTAATGAAGAAAACGCGGCCACCAAGTTAGCATGGATTCTATAAATGATCTTAAAATCATGCTTAGGGTTGATAGAGTGACAGAAGTCGATCAAATGTTCCAGAATAGAGCACTTCGCACACACACACACACACACATTTCTTTTTAAGGATAAGATTGATCACTTGGCGAGTTCATTTATGAACTGATATTAGTTTAAGAATCACTGGAAATGAAGAAAAACATTGAGCAATAGTCTCAGCAGTGAGGACTGAAGCTGATGACTGTCAGTTTCCTGAATAAACATTTCATCAGAGTATTATGATTATCCCCTTTGGCTTTCGAGTGGAAAATACAGCCTCAGCAACACAGCCATCTCCACTTTCTTCTACTTAGTGCTGTTCTCTTCAGCTGGCTGGCTGACTGGCTGGCTCCACGATTGACCATAATCTCTCATCTCTTCCTCCACCAACTCACACGATCTCCTTCATGTTACCCTCACACCGATGATATAATCGTCGCTCCTCAACAAGACAGAGTAAGATAAACTGGCTGCCTACTATCGCCAATGATTTTCCTGATTGCAGTAAATTTGATAGTGTGACAGACAACGGGCGGGCAATGAGGACACAGGCATAAAATGGACCCTCAAGAAAAACTTGGAGGATCTGGACTTCGCCGATGATATGTGTCTGATTTCTCACAAACTGCAAGATATGCAAGTGATGAAAAGCAACAAGTTGGCAGAAGAAGCATCAAAGATAGGACTTCAAGTGAACATAGAGAAAACAGAGGTAGGTGATGAAGATTCCTGGCCAACAGTAACAACATTAACAGACAATAATCAGGCAGCATCAATGGGAGGAACCTGAAAGAAACAACCTCCTTCGACTACCTGGGAAGTATCTTTTCAACTACAGGCCAACGGAAATGACGACGATATCAAAGCAGCGAGGATCGGAAAAGCAAGACAAGCCTTCATTACTCTCAAGTCGGTGGAAGAGGTCAACACTCACCACTCAGCATGAAAAATAAGATCCGGATTTCCAACTCCAATGTGAAGTCAGTGCTACTCACTATACGGATCAGAGACTTGGCCAGCGCGTCATAAAGAGCATCTCAAACAAACTCCAGACCTTCACTAACAGTTTCTTCGGTCAATACTACTCAAGATCAGATGGCCGGCCAAAAAAGATCAGCAACAGGCAAGGATCTCTGGGAGCGAACCAACCCAGCAGGAACCGATTGTGAAACAAATAGGCAGGAAGAAATGGAGTTACATTGGATCGGCCATACTCTGAGAAAACCATCAAGTTACATCACTAGACAAGCCATCGTTCGAGTGGAGCCCGACAGAAAGGGAAGCAGCGAGTTGGTCGTCGGCTCGAGGGTGACTTGGAGGAGGTCTTTTGAACATGGGATGAAAGCATGTGGGCAGACTTGGAGCCAGGTGAAAACTCTAGGAGAGAACCAAACGCAATAAAGACGCGTGGCTGAAGCACTCTGTTCCTCTAGGAATTAAAGGAAATAATAATAATCTACAGCTCTAGTCGATCTCTGACATTCTACTACTCGCTGATAGCCAGTAGTATCAAGTAGATTTATGAAATTAATTGAATGTAATTCTTGAGATTAAGCCTTACCATTATATTTGTCCTACTTAATTCTCCAATGTCTAATCAATCGTCAAAGTTATGTAATCAAAAACGACGAAAATACCCATTTTTATCAAAGTCATTTTCTTTTTCTTATTTCTTTTTTAGCCCCAGAGAAACAAAGTCAACAGGGAAGAACAACAAATTCAAATACTGGCATACCCAGATCATCGTCTCAGGGAAAGATACCCCACCTGAATAATAATAATACTAATATGCCAAATGTAAGCAGCTAAGATTTTTCATACATTTATCTCCCTTTTGTATGAATTTGAATAAAGCAAAAACAACATTGGGTTTTGCAGAATAAAATGTTACCATCCTGTGTTTATTTCGTTGCCTTCTCATCAGCTGCTTACAGACCAAAGACGTTATTAATTAGTATAACTACAAAAACAATTTTAACATACTTGCAAAGAGTTGGTTTTTAAACAAAAATCAATCAATATATGCGTACAGTGTTAATAATGATACCACTAATAATCACTTTATCCCAAACGATAATAATCACACACCACGGAATCTTTCGGAGTTACGTAATCAGGTGAAAGAGGGGATGAGAACATCCAGTTATCAGGTAGCAGGGCAAGGAAAGACTGATAACCACTTCATTCTGAACACACACACACATAAGTTGGGTTTCAGGCGCTTGATGGAGATGGCTTCAGCAAACTTAAAAAGAGAATCGCCCTGTTTTGCGCCTAGTGATAATTTTGAACGATCCTGTGACGTCCACCTCAAGACTCGTGTCGAGGAGATAGATGTCTGTCGTTAGCACTGTTTAAAGCATTTGTTCCCTTAAGACGTAAGCTTTTCCGTATAAGTTCACAAAAGCTTATGTCTAAAGGGAACAAATGCTTTCAACAGTTCCATCACCAGGTATCTTTTTGACATAAGTCATGATGTGGATATCGCAAGATCGTTCAAAATTATCAATAGGCGTAAAATCGTTCAGTTCTTCTCAAGTTTGCCGAAACAATCTCCGTCAAGCGCCTGAGACCTGATTCATGCGTTCAGAAAGAAGCAGTTATCAGTTCCTTTTTTGCCCTGACTGGTAAATGGATATTTTCACCTCTTTTTTATCTGATTAGGTAATGTTGGAAGTTTCTATCGTGTATGATCGTTATTATCCGGAATAGTGTTTATTATTATTTCCTTTAATTCCTAGAGGAACAGAGTGCTTCAGCCACGCGTCTTTATTGCGTTTGGTTCTCTCCTAGAGTTTTCACCTGGCTCCAAGTCTGCCCACATGCTTTCATCCCATGTTCAAAAGACCTCCTCCAAGTCACCCTCGAGCCGACGACCAACTCGCTGCTTCCCTTTCTGTCGGGCTCCACTCGAACGATGGCTTGTCTAGTGATGTAACTTGATGGTTTCCTCAGAGTATGGCCGATCCAATGTAACTCCATTTCTTCCTGTCTATTTGTTTCACAATCGGTTCCTGCTGGGTTGGTTCGCTCCCAGAGATCCTTGCCTGTTGCTGATCTTTTTTGGCCGGCCATCTGATCTTGAGTAGTATTGACCGAAGACAACTGTTAGTGAAGGTCTGGAGTTTGTTTGAGATGCTCTTTATGACGCGCTGGCCAAGTCTCTGATCCGTATAGTGAGTAGCACTGACTTCACATTGGAGTTGGAAATCCGGATCTTATTTTTCATGCTGAGTGGTGAGTGTTGACCTCTTCCACCGACTTGAGAGTAATGAAGGCTTGTCTTGCTTTTCCGATCCTCGCTGCTTTGATATCGTCGTCATTTCCGTTGGCCTGTAGTTGAAAAGATACTTCCCAGGTAGTCGAAGGAGGTTGTTTCTTTCAGGTTCCTCCCATTGATGCTGCCTGATTATTGTCTGTTAATGTTGTTACTGTTGGCCAGGAATCTTCATCACCTACCTCTGTTTTCTCTATGTTCACTTGAAGTCCTATCTTTGATGCTTCTTCTGCCAACTTGTTGCTTTTCATCACTTGCATATCTTGCAGTTTGTGAGAAATCAGACATATATCATCGGCGAAGTCCAGATCCTCCAAGTTTTTTGGAGGAATAGTGCCAAATTATATATATATATATATATATATATATATATATATATATATATATATATATATATATATATATATATATATAATTATTACTGTATGCATATAATGATTGATTTTTGTTTAAAAATGAACTCTGTGTGGGTAAGTATGGTAAAATTGTTTCTGTAGATATTCTAATTTATAATGACTTTGGTCTGTAAGCAGCTGAGGTGATGAGAAGTCAACGAAATAAACGATGTGATGGTACCAGCTAAGATTTTGTTTTAGTTGATATTATTTATTTGAGTTTTGATTTCATTTCTGTGCCTTTTATATTGTTCCTCTCTCTTCTCACAAGCCCAGCTTTTTTTGGTTTTGCTATGGTGTGTCTGTGAATGTGTCAATGAGTTTAGATTGACATAAATTTGACAGTCAATTTTATTAATCATTACGTAAGGAGGAGGCATAGAATAAAATCCCTGCAAACGCACGCTAAAATATTTAGTCGTGATTGACTTCAGAAGGTGGTTTTATTTGCAGTTATATTGTGATTTCGTACCACACCTCTGTGTGGAGACATACGCTCGCAAATGTTATTGGCTTGTTGCAGTGCTGCATATCGTAAAAGTTGACCAATATTAGAATTCATAAGCAACTGGAATGGGCCCGGGTGACTGATTGACTGACTGACTGACTGGTGTCAACGTAGAACTTTGCACTGATGTGCAGCAGTTCGTGTCACCATACTCCCTCCATGTAGCACACAAAGCAAGACAACAAACTAGAAGAAATGCATAATAGAGAGAGACAGTAAACAGAGGTGTGAGACAAAGGAATAGTAATAGCGAAAAACTATATAGTTTCATTGGATATTATAAGTCACAAGGAGTGGATTCATCTCCGCCATTGCAATGATTTTCAGCCATATCACCGATTGTCTCTAGCCTTCATTGGTCTTTACCCTCCCGATGACCCCAACCAGGAAGTTTTCACCTTCCTACGTGGCTGGCTTAAACTAACTGTTGTGGATTGCATTGGCTGGTTTCATGTTTTGGTTTGATCACCGCTAGCCCTTTTCCAACCTGACCCTATGTCAACTAGCATTGCCCATTGTCGAGAAACGCAAAGTCTAGGTATGCTTGCGTAACACATGTCCTAACCATCTCAGTTGATGTAATTTCACAGCCTCGTCGATTGATTTCTCCCCCCCCCCTCGACTGAATCCTAACCTCAAAATTTCTCACTCTCTTATACAACTTCACCCGAGAGATAGAACTCAGGCACCTATAATCAAACACAACCATCTAGCCGGCCTTTTTCATGTCTTCCACTCTCAATGGCAATGTCTCACAACCAGCCATAAAGGAGGACGTAGTGGACTGCTGAGCAGGACACACACGTCATTCAGTGTTTCTCCATTTCATGACAATTCACTATCTTAATCACTGATTTATTCTCTATGAGTTTACTTGTGACAATTGCTGTGAAGAATTCGGTTTTTCAGTAAATGTTTAATTACCCTGATATAAGAATTTCATTTGGGCAGTGGGAAGAGTAAATAAATATTTGAATAAACTTTATCTTAAGATTTTCGAAATTCAATGTTTACTTTTCTTCGAATTTTTTGTCGTAAAGACTATGTCATTTTTTCTTTGGTAAGTTTCTACTACTCAAAACGCTTATTTCAGTAGAATGTTTTGGGTTGAAAAAAATCATGTCTAGAGAAGATTAAGCCATGAGCAACACACACACACACACAGACATACACTAACACATAAAAATACTGCAAAATTTAGAGCAAACTAACCCAAGTTTCTAGAGTGTTTTCTTTACATTTTCGTTTCAATATGTTTTTTTTTTAATTTTTGAGCAATAATTATGTTTGAAATGTGTATTCCAATCCTGATGATCACAATATGTGGTGATGAAACATATAAATCGACGCAGAGAGATCTCTTTTCGTAACGTCACTTCAAACCTGTACAGCTATTCAGTTACGGGTTTTTATTTAAACTATCATTAGACATTAGAAGTCAGGAGTTAATGTCAATTAGGGACACAAATAGATTAGAGTGTTGGTATTAGATGATTGAAGGCATTCGCCACAGAAGCCTTGGACACCACCTAGGTTTCGTGCTACTTGTCACTCAGCAGTCGGTAAGGCGTATCTGCAACTGTCTTGAAGTAACTCATGCCCATCCAGTGCTGACTTCAGTCAGAGAAGTTACCAGTGAGCTATTCAGCCTCACGATTGACTTCCTGTAGGACTGTTGGTAACGCGGGTTAGAATCTCATAAAGGAAGTGAGTTCCTTCACGGTTGCCGATACGCCTTGCTGATGAGTGCTAACTAGCGCGAAACCTAAGTCAGGCAAGGCTTCCAACCATCTAATACCAACAATTCAAAGTGCACCGTGATGGCAAGCCACCTAGAATGCTGATCACATTGCAAGGGTGACTGATAGAATTCAGACTAGACACACACCACTCTAGTTACTAGAGTCCAATCAGTGATGTCTCTGCTGATGATTCATGACCAGAAGTAAACATTTGCTCCAGAATTCATTTGTAGACTGTTTTCTGTCCTTCCCTTTTTTACAACCGTACTAGTAAGTGTTCATGGGAGCGTATAGAAAACGTCTTAGTGATACGCCTCATGTGCGTAGGTTTACAAGAGCAAGTGACTTGGTAAGTGTACATTGAAGCTCCCAACAGCTGGATCTTGTCTTTGAAGTTTTGCTGAACAAGAGGATATGTGGAGAAGGTGAGGTATAGAGATATAGAGAAGAACGTTCTTCAAACTGTGCTAGAAAGGTGACTTCAGAGAACTTCACTCATTGTATATCTCTTGAATTTCAGATTCACAGTTAGTTGTTTCTTCGACACATTCAGATTTCAAAGAGTATAGGTCTTTCACTCTAGGTGTTTGTAGATGAAAGAGGTTGGATGTGTACCTGTTCAATAAATATTTTCTGTGCTGATTGGGATGGGGCTGTGAACATTTGCCAACTTTCCATCGCATTTCAGATGGCTTTAGGCACCTTTTCTGTCACTTAACATCTTTCTACTTAACCCCCTTCTCCAATAACTCTGCAGTTTTGAAGTGAAGTTACGAAAACTGAAGATTTCTATGCTGATTTATGTTTTTAAAATCTTTTTTAATTTAATCATTTTGGCTACTTAATTACATTTTTAGTAGTCAGTTGTAGTAGTAGTGGTGTGACGAAATGTTTAATCTGTTAGATTTTCATGTTTAATACTTTTGGTGATTTTAAATTCTTGACATACTGAGGTGAGAAACATTCCAATCAATAATTTTCAGCTGTACAAATGAATTCTAATCAATAAAACACTCACACACACACACACGAGAATGCATTGTGGAGGTGAATTTAACTTTTAGAAAATCACCTACTAGGGCTTCCTTTTTATTATTCTTTAATGTTAACCAGTCGATCACGGATTGATATCAGTTAAAGAATCATCGAAAGGCAACTTCGAAGGATTGGACAACTGTTGCATCCCACTAGTTTGGGAATTATTGGCAGTACGCATCCACACCTTCCAATTCCAAGGCATGTCGTAGGCTGATCCCCTATGATTATCACACGAGGACTTGTTTCCCTTCATGAATATCGGTATAATAGTGACTTACCCAGTCTGATGGCATTGTCTCTGATTCCAGACGGTACTAGGCAAGTCTGGGAATCAGAGACACCATCAGACTAAGTCACTTATTATACCGATATTCAAGAAGGGAAACAAGTCCTCGTGTGATAATCATAGGGGGATCAGCCTAACGAACATAGTCTCTAAAATCCTAGGCTCAGTAATCATGCATAGACTAAGCAGAACTCGGGAGGAACAGACAAGGGAAAATCAAGCAGGCTTTAGACCAGGTAGAGGGTGCATAGATCATATCTTCACTCTTCGACAGATTCTAGAACATAGACACACTTTTCGGCGTCCAACAATTGTCATATTTCTTGACTTGAAGGCGGCCTTCGACTCCGTGGATCGAAAGGTACTATGGCAATGTCTGACTGTGAAGGGAGTGCCAAGAAAGTACATTGCACTAATCAAGGCACTCTATTCAAACTCACGTAGTCGTGTAAGGGCTTATGGGGAATTGTCATCTGAATTGGTAACAACCAGTGGTGTCCGACAGGGATGTCCACTTTCCCCATTTCTGTTTAACTTCATCATAGATATGCTGATGGAAGTATCCTTAACTGAACGTAATGACTTAGGAATCGACTTGTTACCAGGGAATATCTTATGGACTTAGAATATGCAGATGACATAGTCCTGTTAGGGGAGGATGCTGACAAAATGCAGAGTCTTCTGAACACCTTGAGCAGCAATCTTCGTATGTTTGGCATGCGATTCGCCCCTACAAAATGTAAGATGCTGCTACAGGACTGGACCACGTCAACCCTAACTTAGTGATAGGGAGTGAAGTGATAGAACATGTTGACCACTTCACCTATTTGGGAAGTTGTATTAGCACCAACGGACTGATTGGCGATGAAATCTCAGCACGGATCCGAAAAGCTCGAGCTGCTTTCGCTGACTTACACCATCTCTGGCGTAGGCGTGACATCCGGTTATCAACCAAGGGACGTGTGTACTGCTCATCAGTTCGCTCCGTCCTTCTCTATGGCTCTGAAACATGGCCAATACGCGTTGAAGACATGAAAAGGTTGACTGCTTTCGATCATAGATGTCTGCGATCTCTGTCTCACGTTAGGTGGTTTAAAGGTAAGTAATGTTGACGTTAGGCGTAGAGTGTTGGGCAAAGAGGGAAAATCAATCGACGAGGCTATAAAGTTACATAGACTAAGATGGCTAGGTCACGTGCTGCGCATGCCTAACCACCGCCTCCCCCGACGGGCATTGCTAGCTGATATAGGTTCAGGTTGGAAAAGAGCCAGTGGTGGCCAAACAAAAACATGTCATCAATCCATGAAATCCTTGACAGTTAAACTGAGTCAGGTAGGGAGATGCAGACTCCCGGGTTGGGGCCCTCGGGACTCTAGGAATCAATGGCTGGAGACAATAGGTGACATGGCTCAAAATCGTTGTCAATGGCCCAGATGTATTCAGTCTCTGTAATCTTTCATATTCCTTTCTACCATTACCCATTCTGTTTCACTCTTATACTTGTCAAACTCTATTGATTCTCTTCACTCATCTTCTTGTCTACCTCTGTGTGCTATTTGGAACGTGGCAACTCGAACTGGTGCACTTCGGTGCCAAGTTCTATGTTGAATCCAGACAGACAGAGACAAGGCATGTTCGTATACCATTCAGCCACTGGGAACCGAAACAGTGGTCAGCCCATGAATTCTAACTTCTACCGATTCGTGATGCATTTAGCCCCACCACTAACCAATGTCATAGGTGGAACGCGCTAAATTATGAAAAACACTTTGATCCTTGGTGTGTATATTCATTACTTGTCAGTTAATCACAAATGGTTCTTGATGCCTAATGACTTACAAGAATACCATATTGCCTAGACAGCGTGGTATGGAGGCTTCAGTCTGGAACTCATTGACTCAAAGTGTCATTCACTTGAACACAGACTAATATACTTACAAAAGACTATTTATTGATGTGTTTTATCAGTATTCATACTTATTCCTCTGTATATCGTCTCCATTGATTTACTAATGATGAGGTTTTTTGTCTAACGCTGACATCAATAAGTGATATTTATTGCTCTCGAGTATTGATTGATTTGTGCATCTGTCGTCCAGTAATAGAATCCTTGTTAGCCACACTACTAGTCCGTGTTCTATTCTCAGCCGATACATTCCTAAAATTCGCCTAGTTCACTCATTAGCTGGAAAAGAAGGTAGATTGAGCATGGGATTAGCAACTCCACCCTGTGAAATCTACATCGCTTGTGAAACTTCCAAGTCCAACCTTGAAGTCGCTATGTTCCACACAGAAGACAAAGTTTCAGATTACAAATAACTGAAAATTGAAGATCACTGAACAGCTGTTTCGTCCAAGTTTGTAACTCCTCAGTAGGGCACACCGACGATTCCACCAAAAATGTCACACCCCCACGACATTCAGGTAATGAGTGAATATTGTCAATCTTTTTTAACCATGGGTGTTCGTTTGCCGTGGATTTCCTTCCCTTGAATGTATGCCCCAGCTGATTTCAATGTTCTGACTTCTTACCTCCCCTCCCCATTTAGTTTGAATCCTCATAATCGGGTAAGATTACCACTAATATCACTATTACTATTATTATGGTTATTATTCTGAACAGTCTACCTTAGTGTTATTTTTTCCCTTCATTATCTTGTCTAGATAACTGTCAAACCACCGCCTAACGCAGAACTTCTACCATTCAAAGAGAAAATGCGTTTATTTGCTCAACAAATCGGTGAAGATCCACCTAAAGAGCGTATCAAAGCATCTAGTCGTCAGCGGGAATTACAAAATGCTAATAATCTCAATTGAGAATTATATCACCTCTGTGTACTCATATATTTATTTATTCATATAACACCCTTAAAAATGGGATAATTATGTAATTTAAATATCAATACACCTTTTTTATTTCGATTGTTTTGCCTTCAATTTCCTACCAACACACACTCACCTCTACTCACTATCACTCCTTCTATCACTCCGCCTTCCTCCCTCAGTTTGGCTGTCCATATATCTCAGTTCACCTCACATATCAGTGTAAAAATCTGTCGAATCAAATCAAAACAAACCCTTGATCTTTAACCACTGTTTCTATCCTTGCTCTGACTATCATACTCATTTTGTATTGTGCTGTTTTTTTCCCATACAGAAACATTGTTTGCACATGCATTTTATTCAAATGAAACTACACAACAACTCAGTGTTTTATAGTTCCCTCTCTTTATTTAGTTTTATTCTTTGAATATATATGAGTACTTGTCAACCAAAAACACATCATTAATCCTTTGTCTCCCTTTCTGTATGTTCCCCCGCCCCCACCCACCTCCATACATATATATTTATATATACTTAACGAATCTCTGTGTATATTATAGTTTACTCCCTCAAACAATGGGAATTTGATTTTAGCGCATTTTGAATTTCATTTATTTTGATTAATTTAAACAAAAAGTGGCCTTGAACAGAAAATATATATATATACATATTAGAAAAATCAATAGCACATTAATTCAATTATATAAATATACATATATATTTTAAAAAAATCATTCATTTACTGGGCGTGGCTGATCTGCTCACAGTCTGATTACAGCTCATTGATCTCAATCATCAGTGATCTGATCATGCATGATTCTACAAATATCAATATTATGAATGTTATTATTTCTTATAAAATAATATGATTCAACTTGCTGAATATATATTTTTTATTTTACTCTTTTAATTGATAAATACTACTTACAATCATTGTTTTAAGTAGTAGTTTCATATGTTGTGGTTGATTATGTTGCTCGGATGTATACGCTAACGTGTTTGTGTTGTGTGTGTGTATAATTTATAGGCCTTCTTTGTCCTTTATTGTCTTACTACAACCCACCCGCAACCCTCCCTCCAATCTCCAACTTGGATCCATTTTGATTCCTTGTCAATTTTGAATTTGATTATATAAATAAAAACAAGTGAAATTTTGTCTATCTACTCTTGTTTGAGATGTCTTGACATTTTTATAATTGTTTGTCTGTCTGTCAATGGGAATCATGCAGTGGCAAATGAAATAGTAAGGCGTAAAATATGTGAGGTAGTCTACCTTCTGGTGTCTGATACAGCACTCCTATCTATCATGTTAAGAGTGGAAGATTCGAAGAAGGTAGCTGTTTTTGACAGTAGTTATCCGCGTATCACCTCTTGTGTGAAAGGGTATAATATGGTCTGTAATGATGAGATTAAATGTATAATTGAATGTATGGATTAGAAGTCAATTGATAGGATTGCAAAGATGCCCATGGGTAAAACCCGAATACGAACAGACGATGTGGGCGTAGGTCTGGGATGATATGGAGGAGGTCATACGAAGATGAAATGAATTCTTCTAAACAGACTTATAGGCATGCGTTAGTGGCTAGTAAGTGCAGAGTGCAATGAAGGTGTGTTTCTGAGGCCTAATATTCCATTGGGAATGCAACCAATGCATAAAAATAGAATTAATAATTCAGTGTAGATTTCAAACCTCTATCTCAATTTCATCGACAATGAATAATAATAATAATAATAATCATTTGCATTATTCCAAAACAGTACTTGTGATACAGAATGGAATTCTCACCATTTCACTACAGTATCGCATCCAGTTAGTACACTAACAATAAATAAAATTCTACATAGATTATGGGTAATCTCAGTTAGTTTAGACAACAACTTATTAGCATGTCGATAGCAAAGCCAAAAATTGAACAGAGTGTTTGAAGGTGTTAGAAAAGTAGATCCTTGCTTATTTACTGGCGTAAGCGGTAACAAAATCGTCGAGGTATACAGAGTGTAAAAGAATGAAGAAGAATGTTTTCAACAGAATTTGTAAGAAGGAGAAAAACAAAACAGCACATAACAACAGAAAAAGAGAAAAGGAAAAGAAAGAAAGAAAAAACGCTGCACCTATAAATGATATGAGTTGAAAAGACGAGATCCAATTGTTCTACTGACTATTTATTAAGTTATAGGTATCACGCCTAATGCTTTCTTCTTTATCGCACAGAACATGAGCTAAGTAGGGGATGGTTGAGTTTTTGTACTTGCTAGTGCGAGCATATAGTTTTCTATATAGGCTTCTGGTTCTGCCTGATGAGACACAAGGGGGCTAGAGTTGTGAATGAAGAAGGTGGTGTGAGTAAGATAGATAAAATGGATTTAACCCATTTTTCACATGAGTCCAAGTGCCTGTCGACCTGAATATTAACAAGCTGGTTAAGTAGCCCATTGCTTACCCTGCTGACAACCTTTAACATCCAACGTAATGAGATATAGTCCTTTTTCAGTAGCCCTGGAGAAACTAAGGGGGAACAATAGAGAATAATAGGCAGGATGCAAGAGTTACCGAATCGTAAGATTAAAGGTTGGGTTATACCAGATTTTCGTAACTTCTTGATGTAAAGGACTTCGACAGAGTTGACCGATAAGTAATTTGAAAAAAAAAACATTTCAAAATTATGGAATGCCACATATCAGGTGATCCATAACGGAAAACTCAACTAGGCTTTTCAAGCAAATACAAGAGTAAGACAATACTGTCTGCTTACCATTCCGGATGGTATTCTTAATTTTGGTGGACAAGAATACGTTGGACCGATAGGACAGACCCTAGAAGATCTGAACTTCACAAACGATTTATGCCTAATTTCACATAAACTCGAAGACTTACAGATGAAAAGCAACATGTTGGGAGCGAAAGCAACAAAGACACGCCTTCAAGTGAACACAGACAAGATGGAAGTGATGAAAAATAAGCCAGTCACTAACAACAGGCACGAATCACCACCAGTCGGAATAATTTGAGAGACTTACTTCATTTTTTGGGGGCAGTATATCATTTCAACTGTAGGAAGACTGCATACATAAGAGTGTCAAAGGTAGAAATGAGAAGGCGAAACAGATCTCCATCACTATGAAAACACTAATTTTAAGTCCTCTCTTCGATATGGGTCAGTGAATCGGTCAGTGTGTCAAAAAATCATTTCCAACAATTTGTAGGAGTTTTATCAACAGACGTCTTCGACGGCTCCATACTATTAGTCGGATGGATGGCTAGAAAGAATCAGCAGCAAGAATCTTTGTGGATGAACCAATAAAACACATATTTCTCAGTTAATATTCCGAAGAAAATGGGATTGGATGGGACTGGTGAGTGACATCATGTGCCACATCCTCGAGTGGTCCCCCAGTAGGAAACGACTAGTGGGGTACCTGAGGATGAAATGGTGGAGGTCGTGCAAGGAGTAGACGAGAAACTTTGGGCAGTCATGGGGTCAGCAGCTGAACAGTGCTGCAGAGCACAGAACAAAATGGAGATGTGTTGTTGAAGCCCTATGTTTCAATTGAGATCCAAGGGAAGGATACTGTAGTAATCTCCTAACGTGTCCGTTTCTCATATGAACTAACGGAGAACGTACAAAGTTTATCTGAGTCTATCTGACGTAATAAAGAAGAGGTGCGAAGAATTTAGCTACTGAGTACCTGAGATACAATCGAATCACATTTAAAGGTCCCTGATTTGCAATAGAGAATTACATCTTTATTCACTCTAATATATCTCTGTCCTATATCTAGTTACAAATCCTGTTTTGTTGGTCCGACGTTCTGTACTATTCCTTTCAGAATTTTAATGAATTAGAGATAAAGTAATTACTGTAATTCAAAAATCTTGTCACTCGGACAAAGAATTCAATAACAATAATGATAATAACACACTTCATTGCCTACTGAAGCTGGTGTCCCTCAAGGCGCTGTCCTTTCTCCTTTTCTTTTTTCTTTCTTTTTACATGACTTGCCTCACTCTAATGAAATAAACTTTGTGAAGTAAGCTGATGACTTAACAGTTTCAATGACTGTTAACTCCCAGCTAGATTGTACTAAAATAAATAGCTTTCTATCGGGAGTCAGTAAATGGTCTGAGTCTAACGGTCTTAAACTGAATCCTTCTAAGTGTCAAACTGTTAATTTCAGCTTAAGATGTAAAAGACAGTTAAAAGAAGTCATCGATTCTCATAGTTGTAAAATTGACGACAATGATATAGGAATCAAATCAGAAATTAAGTATCTTGGACTTATTCTCTCTTCTGATCTCTCTCTCCTGGTCTTCCCATGTCTTAGCAATCTCCAGTAAAATATTCCGCCTGACATTTTACATTAAGAAGTTAAGACACTCGGGTATAACTCAACCCCTCCTCTTACAGTTCATAAACTCTTGCATCCTACCTATTCTTCTTTATTGTTCACCCTTATTCTTTCCTGGTTTGCTTAAAAAGGACTATGTCACAATTCGTAGAATGCTGAAGACGGTCAGTAGGGTGAGTGGTGTCCCAGTGGACCACATAGTTAACGTCGTTGTCGATAGGCACTTGACTTCGTGCAATAAATTTGCTAGAGGGATTTTGTCTGACTTGGAGCATCCTCTTTACCCTCAGCTTTCACCTTGCATCTCCTCAGGTAGAACAAGGAGTAACTTCAGAAAACTGTATGCTCGCAAGTCTAAGTATAGAAATTCTATGATACCATACTTGGCACGTATTTTATGTGATGAAAATAGTGTCAGGCAAGAATTAACTAACCTTTTTTCATCTAGTAAATAAACAATTTCCTCCATCCATCCATCCTTATATACCTTCAAGTTTTACTTTTATTATTTCCATTATATTTATGGTCCTGTTACTTCCCTGTTTTACTCTCATAATTGCAAACACCAACTTATCTCCATGACTGCTGTAATCTTTGTTTTTCCCCTCACCATATCATGTAAAGAGAACATTATATTCAATATTTTTAAACATGTTAGGATTTCTATACCACATTGACAATACTGTGTGACACAAGCCAACGGTAATTTTCACTTGTATTATTATTATTACCCTAGCTGTTATCATTATTATTGCTATTTCCATTTTATATGCTGCATGTTTTTGACACTACCTCTATTGTAAATGTGGAAAATTTTCTGTGTGATTAATTTTATTTATAATTTGAGGAAATTAGATGCAATATTGTGATTAGTGCTGAAAATTCCATTCTGTATCACAAGTACTGTTTTTGGAATAAAGTAAATCATTATTATTATTATAAATACTCACTAGTGAAGGGAATAAAATTCACATTTGAATCGCAAAATATACAAGGAGAATTAGCTGTGATGTTAGATTGTAAAATAAAACGAATAGAAAGAGGTAAACTGCACACTGGCGTTGATAAGAAAAAAGCCAACTCATTCTGCTAATAGATATTTAGGCTTCAATTCATCTCATCTATCGTTATCTGTCTGTGAAGGCAGACAGGCTTAGTTAAGTGTCTAACAAACCGAGCCATAGAACTAAGTAGCACAAGAAAAGACCTAAATGATGAAATAATACAGATAGAAGAACAACTGGTTGGTGTTAAATAACTATCCTATAAAATTCATTAGAAAGATCAGAAAAGGCCAAAAGTAAAATAAAAATAATGGTGAAACTAAGAATGATAACATAAATAAGAGAGAATATAAGGCATCTGTTGTAGTTTTACCATATAAAGAGGGGACATCTCGGATCCTCTCGACGTAGGATTCTCAATAAAGCAGGAATTAGGGTGGCATTCAAACTCAGAAACTCACTCAGATAGGACAAGCTGTGTAGGCTAAAAGACCCGTCGGACCCAACTAGACAGAATAATATAATTTACAAAATACCCTGCAGTGACTGTGAGTTGGGTCAACTACATAGGTCAAACTAGTAGGTCAGGGGTAGTCAGATTATCAGAACATAAGAATTTAGCTAAGATAAGAATTGTTGACCCCGAAAAGATAAGTAATTTAGAAAAAAGCTCACCGGTTGTATTGCATGCATTAACACACAATCACACAATAGGTGGGTGTGAAGAGCGAGAGAGATTGATTACTGAGTCCTGCCTAGTTCATCAAGTGAATCTACACCCAACACATG